TCTGGCAAATGTTCCCCATAACCTACAGATCCACAAACCCAAAGAATACCCTTCAGTCATATCCAACTGAAGCTTTCTGCTGATTTGACTGACATAATCTCTCTCTTCTTGACAATCTTGACTCCCTTGGCTTCTGCATCACTCCACTCTCCTGGGATCCTCATTCCTTTTGACTGTTTTTATTCATACGTCTTATCTGTAATCATATTGTACATCAGATTCAGGTGTAGTTTTATCTCCACCAAATACTTCTCCACTGAAGCAAGACTATTTACTGATGAATATAACCTATACTTTCCCACCCACTCTATGTTTGAATCTGTTTGTGTTGGTCCCTACACTCATTTCTACTTGTCTAAAACCTACCAACTATTCATGATCTAATTCTTTAGTAAAGCTTTTGCTCATCTCCTGAGATTTTCATAATCTTTCCCTCCTTTGTGCTCCCATAATTTGCATTGCAACTACCCTATAGAATATTCATTCTTGCATATTCTCATTTATCCTACAAGGTCAGGAGCTCTTTCTTCACCATGACTGCTAAAGTACCCAGTGCCTAAAACCATGCTTAGCACATAGTAGGACCTCATCAAATTTTAGCTATGAGTATTATTATTCATCATCTTTGCATTCTTCAGACCTCTAGCACAGTAATGTTTCTTAAATATTGTAAAATCAATTTAGAACTAATTAATTAATGCCCTGAGAATGAATGAAATCTCTTAGTAAGAAAGGAGAGCAGGTAGAAGGCTCACCTACAGTAGGTGGTAGAGAGGTAAAGTGTGAAGTCGGCTTGGGACTCTCTCCCTCTCCCTCTGCCCCTTCCCCCCCCAAATAAATGGATGAATATTTTTTAAAAAAGAGAGAGAAGAAAATGGCTAGGAAATGCAAAAGGAGAGAACAGAGGAAACTTCTAGTAATCCACAGGGTCATGTTATCTATTTTGTAAGTATCTGAAATATAACATCTTCTTCTTCCAGTTACATGGGACAAGGGTAGATTTTTCAACATGTGGATGATCCTGTCTCTGACTCAGCCTGACAAACACCAAAGCCAAATGGAATGGTGGTGCATTATCTAGTCGTGTTAGCTAGATTTCCCTGAGCCTTCTTTTGCATGGGTAAGAGAACTAACTATAAGGACAAAGGGAAAAAATGATGAAAATTTTTTAGAGGTTGATTTTTTTAAAATGTATTCAAGTGGATATATCAAGAGGATTTACTATACAAAATAGCTAAATATTTTTTTGTATCAAGAGGAATTAATTGGTATACTGTTTTTGAATCATTTTACAAGAATGGCCTTCTGCCAAGTTTTCTGTGTTATGGCTTTTTGATGTGAGTAGCATTTCCTTTAGTACAGCCAAATCAACTGGCTTCTTTAAAGTGCTATTTTTGGACAAATACAAGGGAAAATTAATCATGGTGCCCAAGTGATAGTCTGGGTATACTATTTCATTATTTTCAGTTTAGTCTGGGAAATATGTAACCAGTTTTTCACCCAGAGTAAAAATGTTCCAATTTATTAGAAAGTTCTTGTTATTGGAAGTGTCAATAACAGAAGAATCATAATGGAAACCATCCCAGCTACTTCCATGCAGGCAATGCTGGCCAGCCATTGTGCTAAAATGACAGGCCTGAATTGGCTAAGGTGTGGCTTGAAAGCTCTGGAAGATGTCCCTCTCTAAGACAAAGGTCATGACACCACCAGTTCCTGGACAAGACTCTTTAAAATGCAAAAATCCCTGAGAATGGCAACTCCATGACTAATACATATCCTCTAAAGTTGCACTTCAAGAGTTTACTCTGTACTTGGACTGGCAAGCAAAACAGCAAATTTGCAGATTTTGCAAAGAGCCAATGCTAATATAAAGGTCATGCTGTTTTAATGTTGGCTCAACAAATTCCTATAGATCACACAACAGATTCCTAAGGTGGCAGGTCATTGGTACCAGAAAACACATCATTGTTTATAAATGTCCAAAACCCTGGATATGGAGGTAGAGATAATAAGAGAGATCAAAAACGAGCCTGAGAAAGGGAAAATTGACATGGAAAGCTCGAGTGAACTCCCATCTCCTCCTTGTCCCCCGAGTCATTTCCCCGGTACATCTCCTACAGGCAGACTTGATCTCAGTCTATCTCCCCAATATTACAAGCCCTTTTTTCTTTGTGTCACCCTACTTCTTTTAACCAGCAGTTCCAGTCTCCCCAAGGCTAAGCTGCTGCAAAACTCCAGGGCACAACCCTCATAGGGTAGTGAATATGAAGCCCCCCAAAGTTGTGCAGGGCCCAGCCTGTGACCATGTGGCACCCCTGCCCTCCACCGTGTTTCTCACTATCCAGATCACACCGAACTTCAAGACTCAGATCATACACTTCTACCGCCTGGATGTGAAAGAAACCTTCCTCAATTTCTCTAACCTAAAAAATGGTTTTGGCCCTGGAGTTCACACTGGGAGTCTACTTGAAAGAAATTCTCAAATGAAGAAGAAATACAAAGGTCCTGGATCTTACCCTTGAACATCCCCGAGTGTAAATAACATAATGAGAGGGACTTTGAACTGAGAGACAGGGAATTTGGATCTAGAGCAAATGTTAACTAAACTGCTGTGCAACCTTGGGAAAGTCACATAATTTATCAGAGTGTCATTTTATATTTGTAATATAAAGGAGTGGATAAGACACCTCAAAGATGCTTGTCGGCCCCAATATTTCATATAACCTTGGAACACTAGCTCCAGAGGAAGGGTATTTGAGTCACATAGAGCCACCCCATAAAGGGAGGTAATCAGTGGTCTCTGAAGGTCTGGGAGACAAGTCACTAAATGTTCATAAATGTCAAGCCAAATGGCATACAGGCCTTACCTCTCGAGGCATATCCTCACCTCTCTTCACAGCACTAGATCTTTACATAGATTTTTTTCACATCTCTAGTCTGGCAAACCTGGCACACAGCTGCCACATTTTCACCAGCCCACTCATAGTTGCTAAAGCCAACTGCCTCCCACCCTTAGCTACAGCACACACACCCTCTCACGTGAGAATGCTAATAAAGGACAGGTTTCTGCTACAAAAACATAGATCTACAGCTCCAAATACAGGAACACTCTTATTTTAAACAAACCTATGACACAATCTGCATTTATAAGTACATACGCTTATGTGGATGCATATAAATAAATGGGTGGATGGATGATTTGCTTTGCAAATGAATTTACCATGAAATTTCTTAAAATACCAGGTCCTTCATTTCTCTTTTCCTTCACTGCCTCCTCCACAAATATCTTACACTTTCTTACTTATTTATTGCTACTCAGGAATATATCTATTGTGTAAGGTAAGGTATCCAGTATTTATAAAGTTTAATGGAGAGCAAAATGCATGTCTTTGGCACCTTCTGGCTATTTTCCTTAATGTTCTGGGTATGTAGCCTTATATTTTGCATGCCTTGGCTCTGAAACTGTATCTGGCAACATCATGAGTATAAAAGTCACATGAATCTTAAATACCTTCCAGAGTCCACCATGATATAATAGCCTTCTACAGAAATTAAAATCTGGAAGAGCCACAGGCTTCACACAAGCCACCATGCTTGGAAAGAAGGGAGCTGATGGCCTTGCTTTGTGAAAACTTTCATGACAACTGTGTACCTTCCACTCAGGTTAGTATCTGTCAACTGAGGGCAGCTTAAAAAGTTAGACTAATATATTCTGCCTCCTTACACAATAAATGTTAATAGACAAAACATTAACCACCTTTCTGGAAGTGGTGAAGCTATTTCTAGTAATGGTGGAACTCTGGAAAATTTCATCTTTTGCTGTGAAATGCAAATGTGATTTTTCTCAGCCCATAAATGGTAAGCTCAATCATGTTTATTTGTTTAAAATTTGAGTTTTGTATGTTTTCTATTTCTCTTCTCCCCAGGGATTTCCTTATCTGTATGCATGCACAGATGAGAACAGGAACAGATCAGGCTAGCCCACCCTAGGTTAGGGTAGATTGCAAATAATATTTCTGATGCTAACAGCAGCAAACAAAGGTTTCATCTCATGTGATTATTAGCATTCCCCTCGAGGCTCAGGCAAGCTAAGAGCCTAACAAAAACAAAAAGGAAAACAGCAACTTCACTCTTAAGTCATACTCTTTCCCAAAAAGAAAAAAGTTATTTTTCCCCCCACTTTCAGAAACACCATTGTCCAGAGCTCAGAAACTCAAAAGAATCCCAACTTCCCCTTGGATCCCTAAAAACAAACACTTAATGGGGGACCTGGTTCATGGAAGCTACAGAAGGATGGTGAGGATGGCAGTGGAAAGAGCACTGGACCAAGACTCAGGAAACCCAAGGTGAGATCTGGACACAACCCACATTTTTTGTTGATATCAAATGAGATAATAGATTTGAAAATGTTTTGTGAAAATATTACATCTTCACAATACAATGTTCTGCTTATTTGTGTGCATCTCAACTTGTAGGAAATTAAAGCTGAAAGTTAAGAAAAATGAAAAAAAGAGTAAGGCTGCTCTAAACAAAGCTTTCTGTATTTTCCCCTCTCTTTGTCTCTCCCTCTATTTCTTTATGTCCCTTTTACTCTACCTTCTAGAAGAAGGCAAAAGTAACCATTGATCTAAACTCTGTGCTCTAATAATCACGACTTTTCTATGGTTTTCAACCACAGCCAATGGCTAAATTAGATAACCTCACTGATTACTAAGCACAGGAGCCTGGGTTAAATTATTACTAATTATTTCTTCATATCATGAAGAAACTTTCTGCTTCTAGAGAAGCTTGAAGTTGGAATCAGCATCTATTCTTTATTCATTTATTCATTCAACACATATTTATTCAGTACAAACTTACAGCAGGGATTTAGAAATTAACAAGAAAAATATAACCCCTTTCCCCATGAAGTTCACAATCCAGTGAGGGAGATAGATTCATAGTCTCTCATTTTATAGCTTAGGAACTAGAGACAAATAGTTGAGAAAATTGGACTCTACCTGCAACTCTCCTTCCATTATACTGAGTAGCTGTATAAGGTCTTCTTTGGATAACTCCAAGGATTTCTTATTTTTTCGTTCACTTTCTCCAGATGATTTTAGGTGTCGTTTGACAGTTCCTGAGGCCATGACATCATCCTCCTTTCTGTTTGATTTGTTTTTCTTTTTTGCATCTTCTGAGAGACTTTTATCATCAGCATTGCTGATGATAGAGGACTTGGGGCAGGAGATATGCCCATTGGATGAACTTTCACCACCCTGATTTCGGGATCTCATTCCCACCTACAATACATGAAAAAAGATAAGATGTTGTTACTACCACTGAAATTATTTGTCGAACTACTTAGAAACTTTTAGCAGGTTCACAGCATCACCAAGAAAGAAATACCGAAAGATCAGTCCTAGTTAGCTTCCTTATAGCTTTAATAAAGGTCATTAAAATCTGCAGGAAAATGCTTTGATGGTCTTCAGGAAAGAGTGAAAATGTGATTCTAACCTGATAAACATCTCAAACCAAATGACTAAGGTCAACACCAAGAGTTCTAAGTCATGTCAATGGTATGTATCTTTGATATACTGGGATAATGGGATATAAATGGTACTTTTACCTATGTGGCCTCCCACCCCCAAACATCACCCAACTCTAATAATGAGAAAAACATCAGACAGACCCTACTTGAAAGACAGACTACAAAATTGCTGACCAGTAATCTTTAAAGCTACCAAAGTCATCAAAAACACAGAATATCTGAAAATTGTCACAGCCAAGAGAAACCTAAGGACACACGACAATTAAATGCAATATGGCATCCTAGGTGGGATTTTGGAATAGAAAAAAGACAGTATGAAGAAAAACTGAGAAAATATGAATAAAATGTGTGCTTTAGTCAATAATAGTGTATCAATATTTGTTCATAAATTATAACAAATGTACCATACTAATGTAAGCTGTTAACTATAGAAGAAACTGGGCGTGGTATATATTGGAACCCTAGGTATTATGTTTGCAATAATTCTATGAATCAAAAGCTGTTGTAAAATAAAAAAATTATTTAAAAAAATGATTCTAAATTAAGCCTATCAGAAAATTCAAACATCTGGGGCACCTGGGTGACTCAGTTGGTTAAGCATCTGACTCTTGGTTTTGGCTCAGGTCATGATCTCAGGGTCATGAGGTTGAGCCCCGTGTTGGGCTTCATGCTTAAGGAGGAGTCTACTTGAGATTCTCTCCCTCTCCCTCTGCCTCTGTTTTTCCCCTCACTTGTGCACTCTTTCTCTCTCAAATAAATAAATAAATAAATAAATAAATAAATAAATAAAATCTTAAAAAGAAAAGAAAATTCAAACATCAAACCTTGCCAGGAACCAGTTGGAAGTCACAATGTACAGAAAAATCCACATAGGGTGGAGAGGGCTTCAAATGGAGAGAGGAAAAGGGAAACTCAAAGGGAAGAGGGTGGTGTTGTTTTTAGTAATGTGGGATTTTGTTTTTCCATAACCTCTTTTTCAAAATGGGGGGAGGGTGGTGTGTTTTGTTTTGTTTTATGTCAGTCATTTACAGTAATAAGAATAAGAGCACAAAGAATTGGGGAAAACAGACCAATTTCAAAATCAAAAATTTTTTAAATATTTTGAGGTAAAGAAAAAAGACAAAGCAGCGGCTAATTTATCTCGTGGGGAACACATTTGGGTCTTTCCATCATGAATGCTTTACAGATTCTCTGTCAATCTCTAAGCAGAAGAACTTGACCAACAGGTATGTTACAAACAAACAAACTGAACTCAAACCCTAAGACTCAAAGTGCAAGAAAGAGAGCTCTAATTTCCTGGGGGCTGTACTACAAAATTTGCCTAAACTCTTAAATATAGTAGCTTAGAACATGGGATTATTTAAAACTCACAGTATAAATAGTCCTTCCCCTGAACAGCTAAGCAGCAAGATTTTCATTACTCATTCCAGATAAAATAGAAAGACTTGTTTTCTGAAACTAAATTTCCTTTATGAACCCAACCATACTTAAGAAACCAGGGAAAGCTTTTCAAAACACTAGGTTTATAATAGAAAAATAAATACAGTGTGATGTTTCCTTTCAGATAGTGCATATTCAATTCTTCCAACCAATCTTTAAATCTACATTCATGCTCCTTTTTTGAACTGAACTCTTATAACCAAATGGACCCTTTTGTGTGTGTGTGAACTTTCTTCAGCACCCTAATTTTGAACAATATAAACTGAAAAAGTGATGCTTAACACTGGCACCCTATTTTCTGGCTCACTCAGTGATTAGTTCTTGAAATTTTAGAGCATCTTTTCTGCTTCCTTGGTGAAGAAAGAATAGATGTGTCTTTGTAATGGAAGCCAGAGCACTTCAGAGCAGACCTACTATACTTTATCAGTTTGTTGTGGGCGGAGAGGGCTGACTTAAGCCCCAGTCAAAAAAAAAAAAAAAAAAAAGCAATGAATAGGAAGTTTTGAAGGGGAGTAAAATATGCTCTTTTGGCATATTGATTATTTAAGAAATAATAGACACAGGTGAAGTTCTGAAAACTGAGTAGAAATTACCCTTTGGTATGAAACACTAAATTTATAAGGGAAATCTCCATTTGTAAGGGTGTCTTCTTCTTCGTACCAGGAAGAAAAGAATGACTAAATTTCTGGAACCTCTTCTTAGCAGAGAAGGTAAGGACTTAAATCTGCCCAACACTTTACTCTTATTTACTGTGCTTTTCCTGGTAACCTCCCACAATTGACTCCCTACCCCCAACATCTTCTTTTGTGTTTAGCTGAAGATGATACTAAGGTGATGGCTTGAACCATTTCTGAGAATTCCTCTCTCATGTATAGAAGAGGTATACATGTTTTAAACTTGTTTGTTTTTCTCCTGTTAATTTGTCTTTTTTTGCAGGGGGTGTCTCAGCCAAGAATCTAGAAAGGTAGAAGGAAAACTTTTCCTCTCCAACAATTTCAAATTTAACTCTTGAATTTTACACATCATAATTAAGACATGGGCTCCCCAAACTGAATTGTGACTCCCTACAACTCCATACCTTTTTACCTGAAATAATTTTCTCTATAAGATCTTAAGGCTCTTTGGGATGGTGCATCAAATATTGATTTGACAACTTTAATTTAGATCATGCATTAATAAAAATTCCAGACAATAGTAAGGTGGTAATGTTTTAAACTTAGTCATACATGGCCTTAATCATATACAACATTTGTATTTGACTGTAGCATGGGTTTGTGTAATATTTCCCTGGACTTTTTATATCTCTTATAGAATCTTCAGCATTTAGGTATTCCCAAATTAGAAAAATGCCTAACTAACTATGTTATATGCATTTACTCAACCGTATTTACAAACACACAGAGGGGTGCCTGGATGGCTCATTCGTTAAGTGTCTGCCTTCGGCTCAGGTCATGATCCCAGGGTCCTGGGATCGAGCCCCGCATTGGGCTCCCTGCTCCGCGGGAAGCCTGCTTCTCCCTCTCCCACTCCCCCTGCTTGTGTTCCCTCTCTCCTGCCTCTCTCTCTCTCTGTCAAATAAATAAATAAAATCTTTAAAAAAAAACACACACAGAAAGTGTCATTTAATTAGTGCAACTCTTTTTATAATAGTACTTTCTAAAATTTTCAGTCTGATGCATTTTTAGGTAAATTTTATTGTAGTATTAATAGCTTTTGTGGAATTAATGGAATTATATTAGTTAATTAGTATTGATTATAGAATTAATTGACTACAGAATTAATTACTTTCACAGAAAAAACATATTTTAGAATTATCTAATTATTTTATATCACTAATCAGCTCAAAAGCTTGAGTTCCCTATTCTCTTCCATGTTATTTCACTTTGATAAAAACATCTCATGTGCTAGACCATGATGTTAATTCTGTCTTAGGAAATATTTTTCCTCCATGACACTGAAATTTCACATTAATTGCTTTTCCTTTGACATGTGCTCATGGATTTTAGTACTTTCTTGGTGATCCAAATAGGGTCTACTATCTTTATCTCCACAACAAAGTCAGCAATCAGCGCCTTTTCTATCTCAGCAATGTAAAAGTACTCAGAGATCACAAACTAGCCAAGAAATGTTTTAGGAAGGAAGTAGACACCATATACGAAAGTGAAAGACATATTCTCAATAGTGTAATCAAGTTTGCCATTAATAATGTCCACTTTATTTATTTATTTATTTATTTATTTATTTATTTATTTATAAAGTTTATTTTTTTTAGTAATCTTTACACCCAACGTGGGCCTCAAATTTTCAACCCCAAAATCAGGGGTCACATGCTCCTCAGACTGAGCCAGCCAGCACCCCAGTAATGTCCACTTTAAACTACTTTATTTTGGGGGTGCCTGGGTGGTTCACTCCATTAAGTGTCTGCCTTCAGCTTAGGTCATGATCCCAGGGTTCTGGAATTGAGCCCTGCATCAGGCTACCTGTTCAGTGGAGAGTCTGCTTCTCCCTCCTCCCTCCCTCCCTCTCTCTCTCTCTCTCTCACTCACTCTCTTTCTCTCACTCACTCTCTCTCTCTCAAGTAAATGAATCTAAAATCTTTAAAAAAATAAAAAAACTACTTTATTTTGAAGGAAGAAAATATCAAGACAATAATGACTTCCATGTATCACATTTAATGACAGCCATACTCTTCCTTATTCGAATAGCTAACAACAGTTTCTTTTTTTCTTAATTCTTTATTTAAATTCAATTTAATTAACATATATTATTAGTTTCAGAGGTACAATTTAGTGATTCATCAGTTGCATACAACACCCAGTGCTCATTCCATCAAGTGCCTCCTTAATGCCCATCACCCAATTACTCCATCCCTCCACCCACCTCCCCTCCAGCAACCCTCAGTTTGTTTCCTATAGTTAAGAGTCTCTTATGATTTACCTCCCTTTCTGATTTCATCTTATTTTATTTTTCCTGCCCCTCTCCTATGTTCATCTGTTTTGTTTCTTAAATGCCACATATGAGTGAAATCATATGGTATTTGCCTTTCTCTAACTGACTTATTTCACTAGCATAATACACTCTAGCTCTATCCACATCGTTGCAAATGGCAAGATTTCATTCTTTTTGATGGCTGAGTAATATTCCATTGTGTGTGTGTGTATCTATCTATCTATCTATCTATCTATCTATACCACATCTTCTTTATCTATTCATCTGTTGATAGATATCTGGGCTCTTTCCATAGTTTGGCTATTGTGGACATTGCTGCTATAAACATTAGGGTGCATGTGCCCCTTTGAATCACTAGGTTTG